TCATGGGATACTAAAATAGAAACCTTAATCTACTGTAACGTCGGATGTGGTGCGATGGCGAGACAGGGCGATCAAAGAAGACAAACACGCGAGAGAGCACGCTGTTCGAGAGAGCACGCTGATCTCTATATCGTAGCGGTGGGTGGGAAGCGTTGCAGCGAGGGTGGATTGTTACAGGTACGTAGTGGATTAGCGCGCAATTTGGGCAACGAAGCTGACGTGGTCCATGAAGGTACCGTAAATTTCGAAAAACCAGAAGAGCGTCGGGTGCAGACCATACACCACAAGTGACGACGGCCTCCAAGTAAATCTGGTTAGTAGTGGTTCATAGTGATAGCTGATTTTTGGTAAATGATAGTTGTAATTAGTGACAACTGATAGAATACAACTGCAACAGGCTAATCATTTCATTGGCAGAAAACATTTACATTTTGTGGAGGCCGTCGTCACTTGTGGTGTATGGTCTGCACCCGACGCTTTCTCGCTTTTTGAAAGGGAGGGTACGTACTCTGAAATTTCCCCGTGGTATCCCTCCTGATAGTCGTCAGGGTTTGCCTCTGAGGGCACGAAAGAGATGACACTCAAGTTGAGGTTCCAAGAAGAACTTGAAGCATATCTGCAGTGGTGAGGCTTGGTGAACCTTCCGCTACACCGGTTGCCAGGGATTCTTCCTACTGGTTCTTTATAAAATATCAGAAAAGAATGAAAATTCTAGTAAGAAAACCTAAAAGTGTTAGACAAGAGTTCAAGGCTCCAGTATAAGCTTGCTGCAGGGGTTCAAAAACTCAAAATTCCAAAACATCAACACATTTTCAGAGTTGCCTGAATACATATGAGATAAACTCCTCAAACTGTTGTTCATCATTTAAAGGAATCTTCCACGGAAAAACATCGCCTCCATTCCTACAAAAAACGATACCTTAGGCCCCTTGCTTCATGAAGATAGCAAAAAGAACGGAACATAAGGCGATGGTTTTGATAATAATTATGATAACCAGTTCGACTATGAAAATTTTGAATTCCCGCTGTAAAACTTCCACAACTGTTAGCGGCGTGGAGTCAACACGTGCAAACGTGTCAAAAGCGTGAACGTGAACAGGATTCATGTTGGACCCTTCCCATAAACTTACACGTGGATCCGCACCTGCCATGCACTTCGTCACAAAAGCACTTCCGGTTCCGCCCACCGGTCCGTTCCGGTCCTACAACTACACACAAGATAAGAATGACCAGTTTTTCCGTGGAAGATTCCTTTAAATTCGAGTTGTCATTGGAACCAATCCCTGAATACTCTACCGCAAGGGTTCAACGATTCAAAAAAGGCTCGAACAGTGTTTGCACACATCCCTTCTAGCCTAACAAGGAGCGTTCCGTATACAATCCTATTAAATCGATTCCTATTGCAGAGTGCGTGCCCGGCGACACTGCTCAGCGCACCTCTTTGTTCGATGTACCTGCTTCTGTTCACAGGTGTCAGAAGTCCAGTAGCGATGAGCTACACTATTAGTTTTTTGATGGCTTCCTTCACAATTTTCGCTCCGACAATAGTCCTTGTGTTCATGAGAGATTATAGGAATTTCCTTCTTATCACCTTGCATCTCAAAAAGGCTAATCAAGTTATCGTAGTGACTACCACCGAGGCCAAATCAGTTTTGAAATGAGCGAAATCACATTTGCGTAAGTTTCGAAGTGAGATGTACACTCCATCAATCACTTGATTCCACTGTTCGAGTTAACATTTCGTGTTTAGTAACGACAGTATGAACGGCTAGGCAGCGTTCAGAGTAGGCAATTAGGCGATGATGGAACAAGAAGAAACGGGTATCGGTTAGGCGATTAGGCGAGCAAGCGTCAGGTGATTGGGCGATCGTGCGAGCAGAAAAGGATGCGTATCGATATGTTTGCTTCGTCCTTCAAGGCTGGTGTCAGTGTTTGCGATGCCTCGCAGGTTTCGCACTTTTCGCGCGAACTTGCGCGAATCGCAAAAATCGCAAGTGCCCCATTTGAACATTTGAAACACTGAATATGAAACAAGTGAATCATGAGCATTCAGCCATCACCATCAAGCAGAAATGGCGGCAGGATTGGAGAACACCTTGCAGTATTGATCGGGCACTTGTGATTTCCAGGTTCCGCGCGAATCGCGCGAAACCTGCGAAACCTGCGACGGATCGCGGACTCTGACATCAGCCTGAGCGATTCGCCTACTCGCCTGCTCGGCCTACTTGCTACTTGCTAATCTTCATCGATACGTATCATTTTCTTGTAGACTAATAATCTAATCACCTCATCGCATGTACATGATCGTCAGTTCTGAACACTGTCATACTGTTTACAAAAATTCCTTCATTCGAAGAAACGCTAAATTGTATTCTGGCTGACAATGTTAATTGTGTTTCGTGCCTATGACCATGGTGTTATGGTTACAATCCTATAAGCCAAATTATATTCCTAGACATCTACTGGTATCTAGCATTACATATCTGATATCACAGCATCATATCTTTACTTTACTTGGGGAACTGTCATTTGATCTCGTCACACACTGGTGAAGCAACTTATTCTTCGGATATTCCCCCACCTTTGGCTTTTCCTTTTTTGTTCTTCAAGTTACTCGCTATTTCTTCTTATTTTCTCGCAGTACGTTTCAGGTGTTATCCTCCTTCTCTTCTTTTTCTAATGATATGTTGTTCAGTTGTATGAAGGACTGTGAATATAGAAGTGCTGGTCCTCATTAAAGTTACTCAACAAAATAGTGGCAGCACACTTACAACCCAGATCCGCTGGATAGGGTAGTCTACAATCTTGGTAGAACCTCCATGGACAAAACCTAAAAAATACTGTAGTGAAGAGCCAAGAGTGAGAAACTGCGGGCGCTTTGCAACGCCGACTGCAGAAAAATTCTTATATGCAATTTCAGAGAAAAGTGTGTTCAAAAAGCACCTTTCTACATGCCAAAAGTTGCCAACAGACATCTCCACAAATGAATTCACTTTTATATGTACAGGTGGTATTCCAATGGACTTCTGTATCATATAGAAATGTGTCCCATCGTCAAGCAGATTCGGTGATGCTGCGTAGTTGGAGGGGCCAGCCGGCAGAGGGGCGCTCTGTTCGCCTGCTCTTTTGAGGCATAGTCAGGGGCAGTTAATATTTAATAGCTATGATAATATTAGCTTGTCGCACCATCAGTGATTTACTTTGCATTTATGGATATAAAATTTCGTGGAAAAATGTGAAAGGAGTCAAAAATGCTCTGCGAAGTAGCAGCCATATAATCCTATCTGAGCAACTGGTTAGCTCGCTTCCCGTGGCTATTACTCGATTATTGCTGAAACCCGTTTTTGAGCTTCCTCCTCCATCGCTTCCAACTAGGACCTTGAACGCCAACCGATATAGAGGATCGACAAGAAATTAGGCGAGGGCACGTTCCTTCAATCCACGTGCACCTGTGTTTCACTCATAATGGGATCGGCTTTTTGTTTGAAGATGATCTACACTCCAACCACCGTGTGACTGGCAATCGCACTGCAGTTACCTGACGCCAATGAAAGAAACTTTGAGAAACTAAGGACGCTTCCGGACTTGATCTTCAGTACTAAGCACCTTTTCCGATCCTGAGCGCCCGCAAGGTCCAGCAACTAATAGCATCAAAAGTAAGAAGAAAAATATTGAGCTGAAGAAATGAGCAGAACGAAAATGAAAGCGCCTTATCTAGTGAGGCCGGCCGACAAATGCTCCCGCTGCTTTTACTATGCGTAAAATTTGTTGTCTCGTCTTTTCAGTCTTGCACAGTTGAAAATGAGTTGTTCAGATCCAACTTCAAACAAATTAGTTATCTATAAAAAATCAATCAATCCACGATCAATGGAAAAAAAATTCGTTGGTTCTTGTAGTCTCCGTATCTTATATTTGGTACGTAGCCAGTGTGGACGTGGCACTTGTGCTTTATTTATAGATCAGTTGAGTAAGGTTATACATTCAGCCGGCTCTTTCTGCTCCTCACTACTGTCAGTTGTTTAACCTCTATCGTATTCTTCCGCATGAAGCACATATTTGTAACATTACTACGTTCAGAATGCTGCTTGCTTTGCTCCTCTTCTTAAGCTTCGATGGGGCCAAAGCATCGGTGCCCCTTCTACTGGACTGCCATCCCGAGAAGAACGTCGACAGGAGAAATTGTGAAGCCAGAGACTGTATTTGGTCGAAGCCTAGGCCAGCCTTGGCTCTAGTAAACTTCTGAAGCGTTTTTTAGTAAATGACCAGAGGGAAAAGTTCGTCATTTTCAGAAGAACTTACCTTGGTGTTACATGAAAAATGGTATCGGCTATGTGAATGCATCCTCTTCAGGATCAGTGAGTGATTCATATTCTGCTCCTCGCTGCTGTGCGCCTCTGCAACGAATGAAGTGTATGGAAAGCAAGTGTTGCATATAGTAGAGTATTTAGGCCGCCTTCGTAGCTCGCAACTCCAGAGATTAGGGTAGTACGCGACAGTGAAAGCGATATGTATTGATTGGGATATTAAAGGAAGTGGTCACGATAATTTTCATGGGAACGATAAGGAAAGCTATGTATTGGAGTGGATAGAGGTCCTGCCCAATGTTAGAACACGTGAAGTTTCAGTGGCAGTGGCGCCTTATCAACGGAGTGATAAGGCGCCGAAATCCACTTCCGTTCAGCAAAAACCAAGACTTATCGATGTGGAAAGGGGTGCGATAAGAGCGTGCTAGATATGATACCGTTATCGTCCCGTTTTCATTCTGGAGTGCACCTCTTATCAAGCAGCCGCACCTTCTTATCTCATCGTATCA